CACAGACACACAGACAGACAGACACACACACAGACACACACACAGACACACACACACACACACACACACACAGACGGACACACACACACACACACACACACACACACACACAGACAGACAGACAGAGACACACAGACAGACAGACAAGTAAATAAACTCAGACTCAAGTCAGCATTAGTCTGAACTTTGGTTTTTGTCGTAGCAGAAATGTAAACAGCAACAAAGGTTTAAATTAAAGGGAGGATCATGATTTCAGTCAGTACATGAACATCTGTTTACCAAACAGTACATGTTCAATAATGATTGATTTAGGTTTGTTTTTCTGAACTCGGCTCACCATTATGGTGGATCTGGCATCGTACGCCACGCGCTTGATCCTCTGAAATATCCCGTCTCCTCCGAACGCCTGTCGAGAATCACAGGGACAGAGCCGGATCAAGAGAGAGTCCAGAGAGTGAATCTGCTGTCTCTGAAGCGGCTCTAAAACCACTGAAGCTCCTGTGTGTGGCACTTACCGTCCAAACACACATTTACAGAAAGTGCTTCATCTCAAACAGCTGTGAAAACCAGATCATGTGTGTACTTCGTGTCTAGAGAGATGTGATCCGTCAGTGTTTCAGTGTGAGTGCTTGACGTACCGGAGCGCTGCCGTCCAGAACGCTGCTGAAGAAGCGCAGCAGCTGCTCCAGATCCTCCACAGGCTCCGACGGCACGAAGTACTGCTCGTTTGAGGTGTTGAGGATGATGATGCTGGGCACAGACACCTCGCTGCGGAGGAAGAGCACTCAACGATCATTCACAGCGCAGGACAAAATCATCAGAACACTAGTATTTCCACCAGCTATAAACGGTTATCTTTTGCTGTAGTGTGTCAGTAGGAAATATCAGTTTGCATTTCCAGTTTGCCATTAACTGTAATAATGCAGTGAGATATATGTTAGTGCTGCACTCAAGAGCTCTGATCTGACCCTCATCAGTCTGTCTGGAGTCACATGAAGAAACAGAAGAAACTGAGACAGACTCAATCCAGAAGAACTGATGCTTCCAGAAACCTCCTGCGAAGCTCCAGAAAAACTCTGCTCAAGTGCACCGAGGACAAAAGCTGCTTTAAACACAAAGATGCTCAAATGATGATTTCATTTAGTTAATAGAAGTTAACTGATAAAGAAAATATATTTATGACACTATTGTTGACAGCATCCTCATTTTACAGCATTTGTACTCAAGTGCCTCAAACGTTTAACAGCTCTGTAGCTTCGCAGGAGGTTTCTTGAAGCGTCAGTTCTTCTGGATTAAGTCTGTCTCAGTTTGTTCTGTTTCTTCATGTGACTCCAGACAGACTGATGATGATCAGATCACATCACTGTGTGCAGCACCGGTTGCTGTCAGAACATCTGCAGATCCAGACACACTCACCCCATTATCAGGCTGTTGATATAGTCGTTCCCCTCCATGTGGCCAAACTGGAAATCCCTGCAGGACAGCATGAGAGAGCTCTTCTGATCATTACAGAAACACTGAGTACAGACAGAAAGAGCGGCTGATGTTGTTCATCTGTGACTGTGTTCATCTCTCAGCTCTAATCTCTACTCTATGCTATTCTAGAAATAAAAGCAAAAACAGAGCAGCTTACAGACTGTTAACTAGCGATTGTCTAGTTGGACCAGGACAAACATGACAAGCTTCTAGATATTTGTGCGTCCAGACTGAAAACACCAAACAAGAACACAATATATCCGAGGGGTCGAGCGCTAATGACTCGTGCGGACGATTACGTGACACACAACTGAAACTTATCCTGGCTAGTATCTTGAAACTGAAAGAAGTCAAAAACCCTGTTTACTGCCATAACACGTGTGATAATATGATGTGGTGTATATATAAAGATTTCAGTGTAGATGAATCATGTCATAGGACAATTTCAAGTATGATTACATATACACTTACAGTTCATATTCCAATGCAAGTGTGTGCAGTATCTGTAATGCATTGCAGCATGTAGTAATATGATCACGTGATCACACATGGGGTAATTCATGTGTTTTCTCATTTCCTTGGGTAAAAACAATAACACGTAATCTCAGGAACCTGTTTGTTGACAGAAGAACAGCAGATATCCCGATCTACAGTCGAGCGCAGCAGCTGAAGACTCTCACCTGTTGAACTGATCTCTGTGTTCAGTAGCAACTCTCTGGATCAGACCTTTCAACCTGAACGAACACGAGGCGGTTAAGCACAGAAGAAAACACTGACAGCACAGCGTCACACAACACAGAAACCGTCTCTGTACCTGCTGCTGCGCTCTGTCGGATCTCTCTCATCAGTAACAGCGATCGCCACCAGCTTACCTGAGACACAAAGAAAGAACAGTTCCTGATTAAGACAGACGCCTTTTGAAGAGAGAGAATAAAGGCTAACAGTAACTCACACTCATCAGAAATCCAGTCTAAGCTGGAGTCTGTGTGTTTCATTATATGATCATAAGTCAGTGTATGATTATTTCATATGGAAAGCTCAGAAATCTGTGTAAAGCAGGGGACACACTACACGACTAGCGGAAACATCCTAAAACTGAACACACTTAAAGACTGTTTCCATCGACCGCAGCAAGTTCTGGTCTCTGACAGTCAGAGGAGCTCGAACCTAATGACTGAGTCAGTGCACGACACACTTAACCCCTGCGGGTCACGACTGGACAAGTTCTGCAGAACCACACACACACAACACTCACAAGAACCGCAGCATCTACCCGCGCTACTCTGTGGACAGCACCGGTGCTTTACCTTCGTTTGTGCTTAAAATAACAGAAAACATTCGTTTTTTTGGTTACACTTTATTTTGATAGTCCACTTCAGACATTCTACTAACTAGAAGTAACTTTGCAACTACATGTCTACTAACTCTCAGAGAATAAGTTGACATATACTTGCAAAGTTTCTCATAGTCAGTGTGTTGTATGTTGTGGACCCATCAAGTGTTAGAAGATATTAAGCAGACCGTCTACTAATACTCTACTAACTGCTAGTTGACATGTAGCCGCAAAGTTACTTACTGTTAGTAGAATGTCTAAAGTGGACTATCGAAATAAAGTGTTACCGTTTTTTCTGCTATGTTGGTGTTGTTTCTAATAAACGTCATAGCAATGCGTCTTGAACATGTTTTGCATTAAGTTCAATGCTTCTCTTTCTTTTTGGAATTAATGCTTGCGTAGACATTTCATTACCTAGGCCTGTGTCCATTCAGTTCTCTTAATTATAACATTCATAGCGCCATTATTAAATGTTTAGTCAAGAATATATAAATTCTCATGTATGTCTAAAATCAGGTATTAAAAATGAATTGTTACACTTCCCGAGATTAGAGCGAAATAAAACATTGCTTAATAAATGCAAACTAATGTAATTTCCTCTTCCATTTGACAAAACTATTATATATATATATAATAAGTTAAAATGTAAGAAAAATGGAATTAGCCTGTAGTCTACAGATAGGCCTATAGACTAATTCTATTTTTCTTAACTTTTATTAGACTGTAGATCGAAATAAAATAATTCTTGATAATCGTTAAAATGGGAGAAATCACTGAGAAAATTTAGGCTATACTTTCGACCGCAGAAAAAACCCCCGAAACCATTTAATTTGCAGTGTTAACTTATGAATTAAAAGAAGAAATAAATCACGACAAGAACAATCGAGATTTTTCTGGTTATCAAGAAAAAAATATTACGAAATTACAGAAAGAAAGCTGAATGATGTTTGACAGTGAACGTAATCACTGGAGTCCGTCGCAAACATTAAACATGTTTAAATAATCTTTGTCAAAACGGCTGGTTATTTGAATTCTAAGATTATAATCTTTAGACACCACACACTGTGACCTTTTCTGCCGACTGCAAACAGCGACTGAGCCCTGTGTTCTCGGCTTAACAGAAACCAACACATAATGGAAAAATAACAATCATTTCTAAAGTATGTTCACAAACGCGTTTGCTCCAGGGTTGAGCTTTCCTTCCAGCACATGCTGCGGAGTATTTAACCGAACACGGCAGAGCTGTATTACCGGTCTCTCCCAGCTCATACAGCGTGAATCCATCGATCGGCAGGTAGCTCTGGAATCGCTCTCGGTTCACCCAGGACGACAAGCTGCCGTCTTCATACTCTGAAACACAACAAACAGCTCACTACAGAGACACAGAGCAAGCCACATACATCTGTGACCAATGCACTGCGCACACACTCATCAGATGCTGATTCACGGTTATCTTCACGTACCATCGTATGTGAAATAGGTTCCATCTTTGAAGACGACCACTGAAGGCAACTCATGCAAAGCCACAGACTGCAGCAGAACAACACAGTTTAGTGAGATTTCATGCGATTGTTTAAAACAGCAGACTGGATAAATCAAACCGCAAGCAGCAGAATCTGAAGATGATTGACCTCACCTCTGGTAAGACGTCTTCAGACGCAGAGAAGAAATAGGTGTACACAATGAGCTCAGACGCCACCTCGGTGTACTTCTCCTGAAATCACACAACAGTGAAATGGACTCAAAGCGTAAAGATAAGAGTGATAGCAGATTCTCTCCCTGTCAGCAGATCAGACTGCTCTGTAATAAACAGCATTGAGCCGCACTTGTGCTGTTTAGGGGGCCGTGTTTCCATCCGGGTTCATGAGGAACTGCAGGGTTTGTGAGTTGATGGAAGGCTAATAATGAAACTGTGATATGGGTTGGTGTGATTGTCAGGAGTCTGATGAGCTGCGTGTTTGAGAGTGAAGTGCCACGGTGTTCATTTACATGCTTCTCCACTTCAACATCACACCGAGTCCCAATACTGAGTGTATTTTGCCTCATACTTTGCCATTATGAGGTAAAAAATAAATCAAATTAGCATGAGGCGGCAAGATAAAATGTGAGATAAATGAAGGACACTGAATTAACTGTATGATGGTTGTCAACAAAATAATTTTCTTAAAAACATACAAGAAATTTTTCTGATATTAACCACTTTTCTTAATCAAATATGTTTTTTGTAATATCCGACACACTGATAAATGGCGCCATCTGCTGGGTGTGTAACTGCAGCGCTTGCTTGTTCAGTTACAGGACAAGAAAACAAAAAACTGATTATTGATTAGAGATGCACCGATCGAGCGGACACACCGGTGGCCGGCCGGTCAGTCATAATATATGACAGAGGTAAGCAACATAACAGATGTTTTCCCGAATATCAGCACGATTGCAATGTGACACTGATTTGATACAATAGTAGTTCAATAAACAAGTTAAAATTAAGTGACTTACATTTTAGACACAATATTGACTGTTTTTGCTCAATTTTGCAAACGAAAATAGTTCCAATCAAAGCCACAGCAGAAGTGTGTTGTGTCTCTGATCAACACACAGCGGTGATTCATTACTGAACGGATCGAGTGAGTCAGTGATTCTGTAACCCATTCATACACACAGTCACTTGCCTCGTTTCTGAATGAATCAGCCGTGAATGACTCACTGGTGTCTGGACACACAAACTGCTGGTTTGTTTTATATATAAAAGCATCATTGCATTTTTCCAAACACTTCTTAATTGTATATTAAAAATGTTTTTAAAACATTAATCTTATGTTTTTTATGAAATGTTGCAGTGTAAATGCATTTATGGCAGCTCAGCTTCATCACACAGTCTGTGTAAATACATCTAATGGCACTTCAGAGGCAGCTTCTGTGTTTGCTGCAGTGCAAAGATGGAGTTTGATATGGATTTCATTCGAATGGTAACAGCTCTTCAGTTACTTATTATATATAACTGAATTAATTGATACAATGTATGAACTTGATGTGAAAGATGACATTTAATAAAGTTAGGGAAAAAATGCTTATTTATAAACATAGTAGGAATTAAAATCTGTTTGTTTGAAGACTCGGTCTCAGCACACACACACATTCACATGTTAACTTTAGTTAAGTGTAGATATGAAGACGGACTGAGCAGCTCACTTTCAGAGGAGACTCGCCTCCCACATACAGAAACAACACACTGTGCCTCTTCAAGACGTGCTCGAACATCTGTCTGCTGGGCAGCGACCGCACGGCTGGCCTGAAACACACACACACACACACACACACACACACACACAATCATCAGAAAAGGACTTTCCTAACCTGAGCCAGTGGAGCGCAGCTTTAACTTGCCCCAACACTCTCTCTGCTTCCCAGTTCAGCTCCATACACTACTAGAGCATGCACTGTTCTCGCAGATAAAGCATGTGGAGGTTTTGGAGCAAACGATCACATCATAAGTGTGCCGTGAAACGCTGCGAGAATCTGTGGGTTAGTCATCTCAACACACTCCTTCCTCTCTCAGACACTAGTTAGGGAGCAGAGCATGTGAAATGGGACACAGGGACTTTTCTAGTAATCCTAATGCTCTTGATCAGCGGTTTATTATTACAATACACTGAGAAAACTGATATATGTAGTGTTTACAGCACTGACAATCGATAATACGCTCTACACACTTTCACTTTACTAAGGTGATATTTACAAGGGTTTTACATAATAAAATGTTAACTTTAAAAAGGTAGTAGTATTTAATAATCATTTTGTTTAATGTGAGCTCAAGACCAGTTATAGCGATGAGACTCTGCTGCAAAAACATGTCGTAGGAAACAATGCACAGGTGGTTCATAACCGTAGATAAAACTACATCCAATAGCCTTTAAAGCCTCAACAAGTTTTGGAGAAAAAAAAACATTTAAGGTTTAAAATTCAGAAATATAACTACAGTTTCGACAGTATCTGAATTAAATTCTCACCCAGCCACTCTGTTGGCAAACTCAATAATGTCATCTTTGGTTCTTGGTCCCTTGTAATTATACGCCAGCTCCCCCTTCAGCCTGAGAGAGAGAAACACACTTTTATTTAATCAACGACATAAACAGAACAATTCCACCGAATCTCAGACTCGCCATACACCACATGAACACGTGGTGCCACGACATGCATCTAAAACACGTCGTTCACACCTACAGTGGGTATAGTCTATAAACCGCTGTTAAAACTGCAGCTTTTCAGACGCAAAACAAAAACTTTGGAAGCAAAGTCACGTCAGATGCTTTTACACCTGTAACGTAATACCGAAACCAAGAAAACAAACAAACAGAAACCCCGAACCCTAATCTCATTCAAACTCTTACGGGTCATCATTTAACTATTATTATTATTATTATTTATTTATATTAATCAGTGATTCAGTTTAATAATCGGCAGATGTTTTGATAGACAAACTTCAACTGAGTCTATTCAAAAGTAGTGAAAGTGCATTTGCATACACTTTTTATTTAATTTGTTATATTATTGCATTAAATGGCACGCTGGGGTTGACTGATATCTGTCAGCTAAATGTTAGATGCTGTACTGAGAGGCAAGCGGATGTAAAACTCCTTAATATTTAAGAAATATTGTCTGTTTACTGTGTGTTCACATTATTTTAACAGTATATGTAAATGTATACTTTACAAATACTATAGATGATTAACCTTCTATTGTGTTGTAAATGATGCAATAAGTTATCTCCCAGTAACTGGTGCGGTGCAACAGCCAAACAGGAGCATTTACTACAGTAACAGAAGTACACAAGACTATCCCAGTGTCCTCCAGAGAGCGAGGAGTCCAGCACTGATCCAGCAACACATGCACAGATCTGAGCTCTGGACAAGGTTATGACTGACAGATATCAACCCCAGCAAAGCAGTCATATAGCTAATCAAATAAATATATACAATTATATAAATGCACTTTTCACATTTGCACATTTTCTTGTGAGAGGGACTCTGTCCTTCATTAGAAGAATTGTTAGCCTCATGAGGAATTTCATCAACACCTCGGTCCCCAGACTCCATGCCTGCGTCTGACGGGACTCACAGAGACACACACACACACACACACACACACACACACTCACACAAAATCACACACACACACACTCTCACACACACACACACACACACGCACACACACACACACACACACACACACTCTCACTCACACACACACACTCACTCAAAATCACACACACACACTCACTCACTCAAAATCACACTCACACACACACACACACTCTCACTCACACACACTCTCACTCACACACACACACACACTCTCACTCACACAAAATCACACTCACTCAAAAAATCACACTCACTCAAAATCACACTCACACAGACACACACACTCACTCACACACACACTCACTCAAAATCACACTCACACACACTCACTCAAAATCACTCACACACACACACACACACACACACACACACACTCACACAAAATCACACACACACACACTCTCACTCACACACACACACACTCTCACTCACACAAAATCACACTCACTCAAAAAATCACACTCACTCAAAATCACACTCACACAGACACACACACTCACTCACACACACCCTCACTCAAAATCACACTCACACACACTCACTCACAATCACTCACACACACACACACTCACTCAC